GCAGCAGGCCCCGGAGGCTGTGCCGCGAAGCTGGCCGGCCCAGTGGGCCGCCCGACCCACGGCACGCGGCTAGTCGGGCGGAGCTAAGAAGCTACACTGACCAGTGGGGCTTCACGCTCTCGCGCCCTGCTATCACGCTATCACGGTCGGGACCACCGCACCCTGCAAGCAAGGAGGGCGCTCGGAGCCTCAGTCGCTCGCCCTCCTCCCCGAAGCCTTCCTGAAACCTAGCACAGCCCCTCCTCAGCCTGAGACCTGGCCGCCGGCTGCCGCGGTGGGGTCCTCACCAGTTGAGGTTCTGGAAGCGCTTCTGGTAGCTCTGTGCTCGGCGTACCTTGCCGGTGTCTCGGTCCTCGAGCTCTATCCCGTAGAACCCCAGCATGAGCTCATAGGCCTGGACAAACCGCTCCCTGGCCTCCTTGGAGCTTTTAAATGCCTGGAAAGCAGCCAGAGGAGAGTGGAGAGCTCAGGGGCCGTCCCCGGCACAGATGTCTGGCTGGCTGATGCCTCCCTTGGGCATGATTCATCTAGAGGCTTAGACTCAGACTTTTAGGGTAAAGTGATCGGGTGAAGGAGACCTGAGACTCTTTAATATAACTGTCTCTTTACTCTGAGTTGCTACAAGGTCACTAGAGCTTGAAGCGTCCCCTTTAGTCCTGAGAGGAATTCCTTGAGCTGCTGGGGAGAGCTCAGGGGACTCCCAGGGCTGGCATGGAGTAGGAGATGCCCACCATCTCCTAGGAGCACATTATACCTCCTGAAATTCTCCGTAACTCCCCCACCAGTCCCTCTGGAATGGGTCCTGCTCCAGCCCCAACCAGGAGTGACAAATGCTAGCCCCTGCCCCAGATTCCCGGCAGCAAAGAGTCTGATTTCTCTAGAGGTCTGCGGGATGCACCTGGGCAGAGGCGAGGACAACTTGAGGAAAGATAACTGGGGCGGTCTTCCTGCTCCTCCCCTGCAAGTGGCTCCCCAGGGGCACAGAGGTCTTGGCTCACCTCAATCTCCCGCTGCGTGAGGGGCTTGGCGTGCCAGTTCACCCCCGGCTCCCGCAGAGGAAACAGCCTATGGGAGAAGAGACAGCACAGGTCCCATCAGGGGTAGACTCGGCTCCCAGCCATGAGGGCACATGCTGGCTGGGTGGCCTGGGGTTGCTCACCACCCTCTGGGCTCACTACTCAACCCTAAGAGGGTCTGGCTAGACACACAAATGCCACAGGCTCTCACAATAAAGACAAGGGGTGAGGGGGCAGGAGAGCTCCAGGGTGGCCCACAGGGCCCTCAGCATGGGCTCAGCAGCAAGGGTGACCAGCGAGCCATTTCGCCCAGGGCGGCTGGCTGTCTTTCTTGTTCTTAGTTCTTTCTCTCATCATTGACGCTGAGAGTTATTCCCGTGTTATCCTGTGCCCAGGAGAGGCCCCCTGCGAGCTGTTCTCAAAGAAACGCTCTGTTTGTGGAGCAATGTCAAAGGTCACCTCAAGCCTTGGTTAAAACCCCGCAACGGGGCCAACAGAGCTGCTGGCTGAGTGCCTGCTGCCCTTCCTGTCCCCCATGTATAGCCTCAGCTCCCAGCCAGCCACAGAGACTGTTCACCGCAAAATAACCCAAGCCTCAGGACAGGCAGGGTCTTTCCCTCAACCGCAGAGCCTGCAGTGCCCAACAATAAGCACCAAATTCGGCTTTGGAAATGGCCCAGTATGTTCCCTAAGGGGATTCCAGAAAGAGGCTGCCTAAGCCAGGCCCTCCAGCCCCTCCCCAGAGCCCCAGCCCAACCCCA